ACAAATTGCGGGTTGTCTTGAGAACAGAACGGGACAACAATGTCTTCATCGTTGGACAAAAACAATGAATCCAGCTATACGACGTGGAAGATGGAAGTCAGAAGAAGACGAAGCTTTAAAAAATGCTGTCAGTATGTATGGTGTTGGAAATTGGGTGAAGATTCAAAAATTTGTCTTGGGAAGAACTGATGTTCAATGCCGTGAACGTTGGATGAATGTTTTAAGTCCTGTTATTAAAAAAGATCCTTGGACAGAGGAAGAAGATAAAGAATTAAAAAGATTAGTGAGGTTAATTGGTGTTGGTAAATGGTCTAAAATATCCTCCGAAATAGATGGTAGAACAGATAATCAATGTTGGCGACGATACAAAATCTTGATGAAACAAGACGAAGATTTTGAAAGAGAAAGGGAATTCACAATGAATACTCCTCCCAGTGAGATTGAGGGTGACAAGGCAACATGTTTCATGGAAAATGGGATGAATATATCTACTGATATAGTTGAAACAACTACACCACCAGCCGAACCATCTGATGTACACATTCTTGAATAAACAAAAAAGAATGCAAATCAATGAACTTAAAGTTTACCTCATTAGGTAACTTTGAATAGAAATTGCTTTTTTTATTTTTTGAATATCAGAACGTGTAAATACGATTTCGAAAATGTTTTCGGATCGGAAATCGAACACTTTTGTATACGTGGCACCATATTTGATATTTGATATCATATCTCATAGCATCAATATGTCTGATTAATTTTTAATAAAATATTTCTATTAGTTTTTGATTTTTAAATTCCTTTACTTGTACATTATAAATTGGTTTATTTTAATAATTATAAAAATTAATTTGATCACTATGATTATTTTTATATAATCAAAATTTGTTTTTGTATATGTATATATTAAAAGATAATAATTTCAGAGGTTAAGTATATTTTAATATTGTATTATCATAAATTAGAAAATTTTTCGTTCCAGATTATATGAATATTGTAATAGTGATAAATCAATAGTAATAAAAACAAATTAGGTGTAGAATTTTTTATGATGTGATAAAGAATGTCCTATATTTCGCTTTCTATATTATTTTTCATTCTTAATATATAGCTTAGGTAATAAATATCGTTTGCGCGCATCGGTTTTTAATTTGCGTGTGTATATACTGTATATGAATAATGATTATAGATATCCTCCTAAAATTGTTTTGCAAAAACTTGAATAGCATGAATTATTGTCGGTTTCGATTAATAATTTTATTTTATTTTTCTGTAAAGAATTAGAAACTCATAAAACGGCTCGGAGAAAATATGGGTGCTTTGAAGAAACTACAAAAATAAATTTATTTAAATGCTAAATATGATTATTTTAGTAAAATAAGTCCATAAAAAAAAATTCTATTATATAAGCATTGTAAAAAGTTCGAAGAAATCTATCACCTGAATTAGTTAAGGCAACCTTAAAAGTTTAAATCACGATGAGTGATAAAAATAAATTTTGTGCCGCAGCTAATCATGGTAACACAATTCAAAAGATTCATTTTTTAAGATATTCGTTAAACAATTTAATACCTCGTATCATAAAAATTTGAGGCAAAACTTGTACAAAATGTCAACAAATGAGTCCGAACGAAAAATAAATACAGACGTGATTCTTGAATTTGATAAAGATAAAAATAGGTATTTATTAAAACAAGTTCTAATATTATGTTTGGTCAGTTTAATAATGAGAGCATTTTACATTTTATAAAATAGAGAACCAATTAAAGGAGAGAGAAATGTTTTGGTCACTAGTGCATTACCTTACGTTAATAATATTCCCCATTTAGGAAATATTATTGGTAGTGTGTTGAGTGCGGACGTGTTCGCCAGGTAAATAATTTCAAAAAAAATACTTTTTTTCATAAAAAAAAAAATACATTGAACTAGAAACTGAAAATTTTTATCTGTAGATATTCTCGTGCACGTAGATATAATACACTTTTTATATGTGGTACAGATGAATATGGCACAGCTACAGAAACAAAGGCTCTTGAAGAAGGAATTACTTGTCAAGAACTTTGCGATAAATACCATGCCATCCATAGTCAAGTATATAAGTGGTTTGAAATTGAATTTGATTATTTTGGTAGAACTATTACTCAACAACAAACTGAGTGAGTTATTCATTTTAATTAGAATTCATCTGATTACAAATTTTGTGGCTTAATCTTTACTATTGATTTCTTTTAGGATTGCTCAGGACATATTTATGAAACTTTATAAAAATGGTCACCTTTCTGAAGAAACAATGGTACAATTATTTTGCGAAAAGTGTCAGAGGTAAGTTAAAATCATAATAATTAGTCTTAATAATAAGTTTTATATATATCAAGTGATTTCGATGTTGTAGATTCCTTGCTGATCGTTTTGTTGAGGGAATTTGTCCAAAATGTTCTTATGAGGTGTGTTGTAAGAATTACTTGTTTGTTATTATTCTCTTAACAAAAATCAATAATCAATTTGATTGATATTTTTAGGATGCTCGAGGTGATCAATGTGATTCGTGTGGACAACTTTTGAATGCTGATGAATTAATTAAGCCACGTTGTAAAACAGATGGAAATCAACCAATTAAGAGAGAGTCAAATCATATGTTTTTAAATTTAACAGATTTACAAAAACGTGTTGAAAGTTGGGTAGAAAAAACTAGTGTAGAGGGAAAATGGTCAACTAATAGTAAAACTATTACACAATCTTGGATTCGGGAAGGATTAAAACCTCGTTGTATTACTAGAGATCTTAAGTGGGGAACTCCTGTTCCACTTGAGGAAATGAAAGATAAAGTATTTTATGTTTGGTTTGATGCTCCTATTGGGTAAGTGATTTATTTGAGTTTCCTTGGAAATATTATATATTTTTTAAAAAATAGAAATCAAATGTAATTTAAAATTTTTATTAGTTATTTATCAATTACTGCAAATTACACTCCACATTGGAAAAAATGGTGGAAGAACCCTGAAGATGTTAAATTATATCAATTTATGGGAAAAGATAATGTCACATTTCACACTGTTATATTTCCAAGTTCTTTATTGGGTACAAATGAAGATTGGACATTCTTACATCATATAAGTACAACAGGTGAGCCAGAGTCATGTCATTGCCTTAAATTTAAAATCGAGTTAAAAATATTGATTGCTCCTACATTTTTTTTTGTACGCACAGAATACCTAAACTATGAAAATACAAAATTCTCTAAATCACGCAATATCGGAGTTTTTGGTACAGATGCTAAAGATACTGGTATTCCCGTTTCAGTATGGAGATATTATTTAATTTCAAGTCGACCCGAAACAAGTGACTCAATATTTACATGGAAAGAATTCATTACAAAAAATAATAATGAATTACTTGCAAATTTAGGAAATTTGGTCAATAGAGTAATTAAATTTGCTGCATCAAAATATAACAGTGTTGTTCCAGTATTTTCTTATGAGAAAAAAGAAGAAAAAGATTTGATTGAAAAAACAAATGATTTATTAGCAAATTATATTGAATTATTAGAAATTTCTAAATTACGTGCAGGATTAGAAATCGCTATGGAAATTTCAAGATTAGGAAATGGTTATTTGCAAGAATCAAAATTAGATAATTCATTATTTCAAAATAATAATGAAAAATGTTCTACAGTTATTGGTGTTGCTATTAATTTAATTTATCTTTTATCTGCATTATTTTTTCCTTATATGCCTTCTACCGCCCAATCTATTTGTAGACAATTAAATGTACCACTAAGAAATATTCCTGATACTTGGACTATTGATATTTTACCTGGGCATAAACTTGGTAAAGCTGAATATCTTTTTAAAAGAATCGATGATAAGAAAGAGGAGGAATATCTTTTAAAATATGGTGGAGGATCAAAAGCGAAAGAGAAGGCAGAGAAAGCAAAAAAGGCTAAAAAGACTGAGAAATCCGAGAAAGCAAAAATTTTAAAGAATGCAATTGACGGTGTCGATGGAAGCAAATAATTAATGCTAATCTATTTAATGAAGAATTAACGTTTCATTATATATTATAATATTTATGTTTTATCAATAATTTCAATGTACTGTTCTCGATACGCTGATATCATGGCATATTGAATAAACTTAATAATTCGAGTATGACTTCCTCAAAGAAAAGAAATGCGTCACTTCGTTCCCTTGTAAAGAAGTAATATTTCACCTCATTTGGATTTCTATCTTTATTAAGAAAAAGTCTGAAATCATTTTTTAAAGATAATGATAATTATATGACATGGCAACGAATAACTGCAAACATCTCTATTTTATTCTTAATCATAAAATAACCCATTCAAATTATTAAATAAATTTTTTTAATTTTTTCAATTTTTTTTTTTCAATCAAATGCTTTAAATGCGCAATATATTTTTTCAAAATTGAACAAATGTATACAGTTACATTCACAAATAGTCATCCATTGAAGGAGGATCGGATCGTCGTTTTCTCCTTTTTTGTGGGAAATATTTAAAAAAAAATATAAAGGATCTTTACCGGAATTTCTAAATATAAAAAAAAAGATCTACTATTAGCAATTTAAAAAAAGTAACACAAAATAAATATTCTTTTAATGAAAAAAAAGTTTCTAAATGGTAATGTTTTAAGCTTATTAATTTAAATTTTGATACAATATTTAGTAGTATACGGTAAATATTATCAATAAATAAAGAAGTGATATACAACTATGAAACATATAAATAGTATATTTTTCTTCCCTTTAACAAAGATATAACTTTTTGCGCATACATTTGGGAACATAGCGGGTCTATTGTACATGTGAAAGCGATAAAGAGGAAGGACGCAATCAATGTTAAAGGGCTACTATTATAGAAAAAGATCTTATGGTAGTTTCTTTTAGAGAAATTTTTTTGACAATATATAGATCCGACCTTTCTTTAATGATATACGAGCATAGTAATACATTTTCATAAAAAAAAACCAACGAAATTCGTTACAATGCCCTTTATTCTATCTCAATATAGCCTGGTTGCCGCAGTAATCCGACTAAAGCATGAAGTCACAGGTGGACTCATGTATAAAAGAGAAGCTCCAAAAAGAACCCGTAAAGTTTTTAGTGGACCAAATGAAGAAAAAATTGTTGTCCTTAGTTTTTTATTTTTAATTGTTCTTTGCTTTTTGGTTTTATTTTTGTTAAATGTGTTTAAGAAACGGAAAACGGGTAAATATAATAATAATCGTAGAATTTACTATATATTTTTTTTATTATTTTTAGCATATTTCTCACATTTCTTTTGCTCGTGTTCAGCTCGACATAGAGCGGCATTTGATGACGTTGAAACCGTTTATTCTACCAATTCAACATCTGTAAGTATGATATCAAGTCAAAGTTTTCGTACTTCAATAAACAGTATAATAAGCAACGGTAGAATGGATGCAGTATTATCACCGCCCACACGACCTTCAACAGCTTATCTTAGAATATGGATGCTAAATGACGATCAGCAAAGACATGATGACCATCAAATATGCTCTATTACAAGAAATCATCCACAAGATATCTTTATAGAACCTCCTCCTCCTTATAAATCATAAAAATGTCATTACAGTCATTACGTTTTTGTATAATTTTTCAATGAATAACAGATTATATTAGATGCAAATACATAGAGTTCTTTAGAAGAAATTATTTATTTTTTAACATGTAGATGTTTATAAAAAATTTTTAAATAAATCAAAAACGATTTTCTTCTATTTGCATTAAAATCCTGAAAGAAGTACAAATGCCCTACCGACAATTTAGAAAATTTAATATAACCATCATACTCTTGTAAATTAGCAGTGGGAAATTGGAGGGATTAGAACGGATACAACATTGACTTTTGAATCTTAAATATCTTAAATTAGTTAAAAAAAAAGTCATTATTTTCCCCTCTTATTTGGTGATTGAATTGCCGTCATTTAAATAATGCTCACTACGGATAAACTTGCGCTGAAGGCGGTAAACAAAAACAAGAAATGTAGCAATTATTTCGGGAAATTTTCAGAAAAAAATTTAAACCGTTTATTTTTATCAGATAATAATGCTAAAATATATATATATCTCGTGAACCAACCATATATCTATTTCTTCCAAGTGTAACGGACAGTTTTATAATGATGATACTTCATAATTCCATGTCAAATATCATCATCTGTATTTTTTTTGTTTATGATCCAAGGATATAGATTCCCAAGGTTTCTTTGTGTTATAAGCGTTAGGACTCATCCTTTCTTGCCATGCCGTAAGCATGATTTTCAGAATAATGAATGTCAATGTAAATAATTCATAATAGGAATAAAAATAAAAAGGTAGTTAGTGTTGCAAACAATATACCAAATATTCACTCAAATGAATAATAAATAATGAACGGAAAATAATTTTTTTAAAGCAATCTTTCACTTTTTCTTCTTCTCGAGACTCTTTCCCCATTCATAAACCTCAATCTCCCATCTGTCTCTTCTTTCGTTCAATTCATTCTTATCTTTTCTCAACTCGTTTCTTAGGTCTCTCCAATCATTCTTTTCTTCTTCATTCAAGTCATTCAAAACCTTCTCTTTTTCACCTAATTCTCTTTCTGCATTTTCTAATGTGTCATCTTTTTTTTGTAAAAAAAAATTCCAAAGAAATGCCGTTATCCCGTTAATACAACAAACATAAAAATTTGATTAATCGATTTAGAGGTCAAAATCGCAAACAAGCAATTTATCCTAAAGGAAAAATAAGACGAAGTAATTCGATTGAATTTTAGCTTAATAGAATCGCCGCATTGAGAAGAATCGGAATCCAATGTTATTTATTTAGTAGCTAGCCTGCTGAAAAAAGATTACTAAATTAAAATTGGTATTAATGAATAATCGCATCAAAATTTTATTGATCAAAAATATGAATTTCAATTTTAGCCAATCAAATTCAACCTCCATTATGTAGAACGCATTTATTTCTCCAGTTATTTCTTTAGATATGATTAATACAAATTACTCTATATGACTATGGTCCCTCAGGAAATTGTTACAAGGTAATGTTTAATTATTAATTTTTTTTCAAAGGTAAATAAATTCCTTTAAATTAACTTCACATTTTAAACGTTATAGGTTCGATTATTATTCTCATTATTGAGAATACAACATTTACGAGATGATATCGATGTAAGAAAAGGAGATGCGTACCGAACATTTTCTAAACAACTTTTCATCAAACGGACGAATTCCAGTTATAATTATTCCACCAGATTATGTTCGCAAACTTGCCAATCCTACTACTCGTTCCACAGCGGTCTTCCTTTCTTCTACACCATCGAAAGCAAAAATCAAAAATGAAACCGTCGTAAGGACGCAATCAACGATCCTAACAGAATCCAGCGCGATCCTGTCGTTTTTTTTCAGATGGTACACCATTGTTTCCATCAAATCCAATAGAAAGAGCAAAAATAATGCAATGGTTGTTCTGGGAACAATTTTCTCATGAACCAAATTTTGCCTACTTTATTGAATAAAGGTGAAGATCCTGATCAATTCGTTGAACGTCAAAAAAAGGTTATGAAGCTTTACATATACTGTATATTTAAATTAAAAAAAAAAACGCTTTATAAATTATAAATGATATAGTAATTAATCATGTATCTAACTATTACATTGTAAAATAAAACAAAAATAAAATATTTATTTAAGAAAATGAAAATTAGAATGTTAGTATCAAACTAGAGGAATCTAATTTTTTGTTATTTAACATTTTTAAAGTATTCTATTTATATAAAATTAATTATATAGAAAGATAATACATGTTTTATAAATAATTATATCTTATATGTTTTTTATATCAAATATATCTATTATATAAGTTATATTAAGTATATCATTTACTGAAACATTTTCTTATCTTATGATAATAATTTTAGCTTATCAGATAGAAAATATATTAAAATCATTTCTTTTGTTTGATACTATTCAAAATAATTGATAAATATTCTAAAATATAAATTATGAATAATTGCTAAAGATATAAAATCACATAATTCTGTTAATAAGAAAATTATTATGCAACTATAACCAGTTGTAGAATCTTAAATATAAGAATTAAAATATAAAAGTCCACAACTAGTTGCAACTTTTTAGATTGCAATTTGGATTGTAACTAGTTGCAGATTTTTCAAATAAGTTGTTATATCATCTTTATTTTAGATTAAAAATATAATTATTACTTGTTCTCTATATGTAATTTTAAAATATGTTTTAGATAAAAACAATATGCTTATTATATTCTTAAACTTAAAAGATCATATCTTACAAATCATAAATAAGAAAGATTTTTAGAAAATATAATTGGTGATAAAAAGTTCTCTATTATCAAAGTTTACTAATTTGTTATTATCTTTTATTTTTTGAAGCTTTTAATTAAAATATTTCAAGATTCAAGTTTAATTAATAATCATTAATAAAATCATATTTAAGATCTAATTATAATTTTATAGCACTCATATTAAAAAATAAAGTTAACGGTTTGTTTTTTTAAAAATTTTATTATTTTTAAATATTTAAAAAAATTAATAACTATAAATATAAATTAGAAGTTTTAGCTTAACTTTATGCTTTTTTATTTTTATTTTTATTTTTTATTTTTAAGCTTTAATAAAAAAAAATATTTTTTTTTACCATCATGGCGAAGGCGAAATGTTTTGCTTGTACTTTTTATCAAGTTTTTAGTTTTTTATTACTATGGTGAAGGCGAAATGTCGGATTCGTTTTGATTTTTTTTATATAAAGTTTTTTTATTTTTGTTTTTAAATTTAAGAAATATATATACTGTATATTGAGTTAAAAATATACACCTACCTTATTTCTTATCTCTTTTATTCCACCACTATATTTGTTTACCTTTAACTTTTTTTAATACTAACTTTATCATGCCTGCGAAAATAACCACAATTGCTTAAGTTCATGAATCAACTAAATGCCTTACTCAAGATTTTACAGTTACTTGATTCATTTTTTTCCTTTCCTTTCGATTGTAAAAGTTATGTAATGGTCGAATCTTTGTATAAAATGAATAAAATCATAGTCAATTCATTCCAGATTTAAAAAAGCTGCGCTCATACTAATATATAAAGAAAAAAGTTTATTACATAACTTATTCATTCAATTTTCAATTAAAAAAAATCAATCTCTTCTTATAAAATCGATCTGTAAATATGAACGCGCGTAAGCTTTGTACTATATCATGTTAAATCATCAACCGATCTGATATATCATTTTGGTGGATACTGGAAAAAAAATACTGGCTAGTTTACCAATATAATTTCTCTTCATAAATTTAAATATAAAAGATCCATTCTTAACTTTATTGAAAAGGATTTTGTAATTTATCGCCAGTGCGATTTATAATAATTTTATCACCAGAGTGATATATAAATGTGACAAATAGGATTTTGTTAATCAAAAAAACCAAGTTCCTGAAATACTTAGTAAAAATGAAGAACCGATGGGTGTGACACTATGTGACATATATTCCTAACCACCTGATCCTAAATCTAACCCTAATATAAATTAAGGCTGGCACTAGCGATAAATTACAAACACTATTGAAAATTTTCAATATATTATTTTTAGTACCATCTATAAGTGATTATTAATATTGGGAACGTTTCCGTCATGAGGCATAGTAAATCATATGATCCGTAATGTGATTTTACTGGAAACGCTCCCATGTGAAGTTTTATTTTAGGTATCAATATCTCATTTTCAAAATGTTAAAATTGTTCCCGTTTTTAATTTTAATATTTTTTTTGTTTAAGAAATAAAAAAATTTCCAAATTAGCTAATATGATGATTGGCAGAAACTTTAACTAAAAAAATGATGAGTGATTGACCACGTGAACCGTCTTATTTAAAATTACAAAATTCCTTCCTATCACTTTAATCAGTTTAACATGGCGGAGTGGCAAGTTCGTGAACATCCCGATACTATCGTCTTGTTCGATGTAGATGGTACTTTAACACCGGCTCGTAGGGTTAGTCTTTTAAAGCAAAAATTTATTCCAGTAATAAATAATAATTGTAGTCCTTAAACACTATATAGAAAATAACACCAGAAATTGCTGAAATACTTAAAGTTTTGAAAAAAAAAGTGGTCATCGGTTTTGTGGGTGGTTCTGACATCTCAAAACAACAAGAACAACTTGGACAAAATGGTATATTTAACTTTGAATTCTCCTTTTTTTATTCGAATAATTATAATTAATCAATAAACAATCTCTCGATAGCTATTGACGAATTCGACTTTGCATTCTCTGAGAATGGACTTACTGCATATAGACTAGGAAAACAACTCGCTTCTCAAGTATAACATCGAAACTCCAAATAATTTATTGAATTTATTTAAAAATAATTCATTAATTGTTTTTCTTATTATTAGAGTTTCCTTGATTGGATAGGTGAGGAGAAATATTCGAAATTGGCTAATTTCATTTTGAAATACATAGCAAACCTTGATCTTCCAAAGAAACGGTAAGAGTGGATATTATTAGATACAAATTTAATCACGTAAATTCATTATTTTAAATCGCTATTAAATTGACTTTCAATTCAGTGGAACATTCATAGAGTTCAGGAATGGAATGATTAATGTTTCGCCCATTGGAAGAAACTGCAGGTTAGGAAAGATGGGGAGTTGATGGGGAGTTAAAGAAAGAATAACATTAAAATAGGCTCTATTTTTAGTATAGAAGAACGGAATGAATTTGAGGCATATGACAAGATTCATAACATTCGACCTAAATTTGTGCAAGCATTAAAGAATGCATTTCCCGATTATTCTCTGACATTTTCGATTGGTATGCTATCAAAAAAAAATTAAACTTTAAATTTTAAATTATTTTTTTAATTAAATTTCCGATTTAAAATAATAGGGGGTCAGATATCTTTTGATGTGTTCCCCACAGGGTGGGATAAAACTTATTGTCTCGAACATCTTGAGTCTGAAGGATTTAAAAATATTTACTTTTTTGGCGATAAAACTTACGAGGTAAGAATTGCCAAAGCATTAATTGACAGTATCAAATAATGTTTTTGTTAAATTTTTGAACTTTTAATTTGTAGGGAGGAAATGATTATGAAATTTATATTCATCCTAAAGTTATAGGACATTCTGTTAAAAATCCCGAAGAAACCCTTAAGAAATTAAAAGAACTTTTTAATATCTGATATTTTTAATTTAATATGTAAAAAATGTGAAAAATATAATTTAATTAATAATATTTATTTATTATCGTATTCGATATACCCTTGACGATGTCTTGAAGTATAAGGTTTTTGACTTTTACTATAAGTAGCTTGAATAAATTCGTATAAATATTTATAATACCATAGAAGATCATCATATCTACCATCATAACGATGATCATCGTTGTCAGATTCATAAACCTCATAATATTCTTTTAAAAAATAATACAAAGCTTCGATAGTAGCTAAATGATTTTCGCTCTTATTTTGATATCTCCAAAAAAGGGTTTTTTGCGGTTTTATGGTAATCTTTCTTATATTTTTTAATTCTTGGGTAAATTTTGTTAAGCTTGTTGCTTGTTGCCATGTACCATCTACCACTAATAATTTATCAAATGAATCCTTTGAAATTTCATTCAAAGTTTTTGAATCCTAAAGTTTAAAAATATATTGTTATTATTCTTATAAACCTGTTTAAAAATAAATAATAATTTTTTTTTGATACTTACTGGACCAGGAAAAAGTAATAATAACCTGCTTGGATTTTCATATTTTGGAATGTCTAAATTGGAATATATGGAAACATCATCTGGAGCTATAATCTTTGCATGTGCCACTGTTGACTTACCTTCTAATTCTTTTGAATGTTTAATTCTATTTTTATTTTTTATTTTTTACACAATTAAAAAGAGAATCATTAGACAACTTTTTTTTTCTTTAAAAGAAAAATAATAATAAATAAATTGAGATCCCACACATCAATTTTTATAGGTAATTTAAGGTAAGGCACATCACTTCTTTGACAGCCAACAACTTGATAACACCAATAACAGAAAAATTTCATAGAACGGGCACATTTAGGGCAAAGACTCCTTGCATTCAACGTATCAAGAATTGATGTTGAAGATATTTTGAATTCATCGAATGGGGAACGTTGAAGTCTTATGTTCTCCTTTGCAGAGTTACGTTTTGAGTTTTGTTGATATTTATCGAGTGATAATGTACCAAAAAGAGTGTCTATTGTTTCTTCGTCTAACTTGATACCTATAAAAAGAAAGAAAGGTTAGTGGTTTAATTTATAAAGCAATGGTTTTGAGGTATATCGATTAAAATAAACCTTGTTCATCTTTATTTAATTCGTTTGCCATAATACTTTGTTTTGGGAGAAAGAAAGGAAACTAAAAAAAAACTGATTCGGGAAAAATTCTTTAATCAAATACGATAGTAAGTTTGATTGGTCATTCAAATCTAATCATGCATGTGTTACAATAAAAACTTTATAAGCGGATGATCAATTTTTTGTCAGCGTTAGAAGAAATGACCACACAAGATTCCAAAGAAGTTACTATTACTCAACTATTCAAGGATGTTGAAAGACTTGTTAGTCAAGAAGAGTATGCGAAAGTTCTTAGATCCGTTGATAAAAGTAATTATAATTTGCCTATTTTTTTGTAATGTAATTAAATGTTAATTCCTTATATATTTAATTATATCCTTTTTTTCTCGGTTTTTTTTTTAAAAAAAAAACTAGTTCTTCAATTAAATCCAGAAGATAGGGATGCATTACATTGTAAAGTAATATCAAACATAAGATTAGGAAAATATCAGAATGCAACGGAAATTTTACAAAAAAATTTTTCGGATGATAATTTAATATCAGAAAAAGCCTATTGTTTTTATAGGTTAAATAAATTCGATGAATTAATAAATTTATTAAGGCAATATAAATTAGAAAATAAGAATGAATTAAGTTTAAGGCATATAGAAGCTCAATTGGTGCGTTTTTATATATATAGTTTGTTTTAAAATAGTGATTATGAAAGATTAAATAATAATTTTAAAATAGGCCTACAAAACCGAGGATTACAATGCTTCGCTTGAGATTTACTATGCGCTGCTAAAAGAAACCGATAAGGTACTTATATACATATCCAGTTTATTACACGTGATTCAATTAATAACTCATTTCGATCCTTGATTTGTTGATAGAATTTAGACGTATATAACGATATCCTTACAAACTTCAATGCTGCTAAAGCGGCTTTATTATTTTCAGGTGGTGATTTAGACGTGAAGGTACGTGTGTAAAAAAAGATTTTTAAATAACACTTAGTTTCTCCCAATTTTTTTTGTTAAATTTTAATATTTGATTCAGTATGCGATGAAGGAATCACTTGATACTTATGAATTAGCTTACAATACAGCTTGTGCATATATTGGTCAGAAAGACTACGTGAAAGCCGAGAAATTATTAAACACGGCAAAAAGTACGTATATATCGTTTTTATCGCGTTTTCCTAATTTAACTGACATTTGTACCAATATGTATAAATATATATATATTTTTTTTTAAATAGATATGTGTAAAAAATCACTTTTAACAGAAGATTATACAGAAGACAAGATTGAAATAGAATTGGGAACAATCAAGGTTCAATTAGGATACGTTTATCAATTACAAGGAAAAATTTCGGAAGCGATTGAAATTTATCAAAGCGTTCTCAAAGTAAAAGGAATGGAAGTGTCAGCATCCGCTATTGCATCAAATAATTTAGTTGCCGCAAAAAAAGATTCTGAATTATTTGATTCTGCAAGGAAATTAAGAGTTGCAAGTTCAAAAAATTTAGATGCAAAGTTATTTAGAGGACAAAGGCGTATCATCGCTATGAATGAAGCCTTACTTTTGTTATATATGCACAAGGCAAGCCCTTTCGAATTTCTTTGATAAATTCATCTCTTTCGGGCAACTATAATAAGTTTCGTTTTTTTTTCAATTTTCTTTATAGTATGCGGCATGTCAAGATTTGGCTCGTAAATCATTACAAATCTATCCGGAGAATGATGATTTATATTTATTAATAGCGTCAACATCATTTCTACAAAAAAAAATTAACAAATCGATATCAGATTTACAAGAATTTGCTAAGCAAAAACCCGAATCTTTGCATATAAATTTCGCATTAATGCAATTACAATTGTTAACTTCAAGTCCAAATAATGCATTAGAAACTTTTGAAAAATATATATCATCTATTAAAGATGATAAGCAACGTTATAAATCAGGTTATGTTGGTTTATTGGTTTGGCTTTACGAACAATCCGGTATGCATGATAAGGCCATTAAAACCTTAGAAGATGCTGGTACTTTTTGGAAAAGTACCACTTCAGTAAGTTGGATTTCTGTATATCATCATTTTTTTTTTTTTTTTTTTGATATTTCCCTCTTGAACCGATCATTTATAGTCGAATGAAAGCACATCAATTCTTAAACAATCGGCAGCGTTTAAAATTAAAACGGGACGTTATCAAGAAGCTGCACAAGATTACGAAAAACTTGTCAAAATTGATCCGTTAGATACACAGGCAATAGCTGGTTTAGTGTCGGCTTATTCTCATTACGATATTGAAAAGGCTGAAAAGTATGTGACTTCTTTACCAGAAATCAATTCTGGTGATGGCATGGATATTGATGTGGATTCTATTGAAAAGTTCGTGCCTGGTGTAAAGAAAAGTTACAAGAAAACTGATACTAAAAGGTAATCCTACATAGATGATTTAAAATTGCTGTTTGAAGTTGTTGATGAATTTCCGTTAACATTCTATAATGTAGTGATGGACTTTCTCAAAAGACTCAGGTGAAGAAAAGGAAGAGAAAACCTCTTCTACCAAAGAGTTATGATCCTAGCATACCTCCGGATCCCGAACGTTGGTTACCTAAACGTGAAAGGTCTACTTTTAAAGCAAAAGGAAAACGTAAACAATTAATGAAAGGTGGTTCCCAAGGCACTGCTATCGTTGGTGGAGGCATTGGTGGTACCGGAAGTGCTAATATTGCAGGAAAAAGGTAATCGGTTTTAACCTTTTCTCGAATGATTTTGTTGCAAATTACAAAGTTATGTATATTTATTTATTCTTGTAGTGTGGTTTCTGATAGTCAAGCTGCAGTTAGTGGTGGTGCCAATACTGCGCAACAAGAATCAACTGTTCAACATCAGCAACCACCTAAACCTAAAACTGATAATAAGAGCAAAAAGAAGAAAAAGAAAGGAAGTAAATGGTAATGGCACACGCGTTTAATCATTAATTAAGTATCGGTAGATAATTTATGAACCTTGATGATCGTTAACTTATTAATCGGCGTTATAAAGGTGTATTAATATTATTCATTAATTTATAATGCATTATTATAGCCTTATTTTGTACATTTTTCAATGATTTGATAAATAAAAGAATAAAAGTATTTAATACAAGATAATTTTGCAAACGTTATTGAAGATTAGTCGTCTTCGTATTAATTAATTAATTTCATGCGTAGATATGTTTCAAAATTTTAAAATACATAAATTTTATGAATCTAGTTACATACATTTCCTCACACTTGATCACAAAGACGAATATTTCAAACGAGTCTTTTAAGACGCGTCAATAATTGTTTAATTGATAATTTTCTTAGTTCTTCCTGTTGCTTTTTCTGTCATAGAAGCAAAAATGTGAAAATAAGAACGTAAGTAATATATATATATATTTATTTAAAAATGCATTCTATCATATCGTTATTAATAAACTAACCCGACGTTTTATTTCTTTGAGCATTTGATGTTTAGATTCTATCTCCTTGGATATATTTTTAGCAACTAGGTCTTGTGAAAGATTTTTAATGGTTTGTTTATTCTTTACATTAAAGGTCGGTGTGTTTTTAGTTTCCGATTCCGGTTGTTTCTTATTAGCTTTTTTTATCGCCTTTAGTTGTTGCTGAGAATGTTCTTGTGTATTTTTTGATGCAACGGGAGTTTCGCAAATTTTTTGTTGCTTTGAAATGGCGTCAGTTTTCGAGATTGAAGTTTCAGCTTTTAAAGTAACGGCTTGATTGGATTGATTATTTGCGACTTCAGGAATCAATTTTTCTTTCTTAGACTTTGTTTTCTTGGTGTCTTGCGCGTCGTTTACGTCATTAGCAGCTTTGATTTCCTTAATAATAACTTTGATTGCGGCTTGGTGTAGTTTCTTACGAGAAATTGACAAATTAGATCGTAGTCAAAAAAATTTTATATTTTATTATTTAAAAGGTTAAGACTTACTATTCTTTGTAACCTTTCTTGTGTCTTTTTCACTTGAATGGCTTCATTTAAACGAATGAATAGCATTCTAAATTTCAAGTTAAATATATTTTTTTTTTAAAAAAAAAAAAAGGAATGTCAATGCATAAAAATCATTGATAAATTGAGAAAATATTTTACGTCAACCTTAAATAAAGTAATCCATACTTTCCACGTTTTATTAATCAAGTCAAGCATTGGATCGATTAGGCTGATACACAATTCTCTCACCTTCATATGAGCGCCGCTTTGACCATGTACTCGACAACAATCCAAATAATAAGCACCAATATATGCCTCAAGAGCTTCACCCAATATTCGATTATTTTTTTTTGCAAGTGTCAAATCAACGTTTGCGATTTTATCCAAACCCCATTGACATGCAAATTTTGAAAGTTGATTAGAGCTTACTAGCATTGATCGATATAAGGACAATTTACCATTACTATATGATGGGAATTTTTCATGCAAGTGATCCGCGACTTTTGAAAAAAACGGGGGAGTAAGAGAGGAAAAAAAAGATTATATAATATACAAGTTCAAAGCAAGATATAATTTTGGGGTAAAAAAATTTTTTTTGTACCATTATATGCCAAGATACTATCACCAAGAAATGCAAGACGAGTAAATGTATGATGAGATTTTTCAGAGGTATTATAATTTCCATAAGTTTTCAACGCGGTTAAAAGCAAACAATTATCATTTATAGGTGGAAGTCGTCTCTTATGTCTTATCGTAATTGGTGGTGGTGCTGGTGCTTTCACAGTGCGTAATGTCAAAGCTTTAATAGTTGTATCAATAAATTTATAGAAGTTTAATAACATTTTTATTACGTAGTTCTTATGTCAAAAACTTTTCCTAATAAAAAAAAGGTTTGATAAGGATTAGAATTCTGATTGGACTTTGAAATCTAAAGAAAATAATTGGTAGTTAACTAGTTAACGATCGAATTATCACATGATAATTTGGATCTCGGGATTTCGGAATGTGATTTTATTTTTTACTTCTTTTTCACAAGAATATAATGGTAAATTTTTCATGGTTTGATTTAAAATTAACCTTAAATGTTGAGCATTACAATGATTTATTCAATTATGCTCTTTTTCAACTTTACATATAGCCAAAAGTAAAAACTCGCAAGTCACTTCATTATGTCTCGAATGTTTCCAATAGGAAATTTGCAGTATCTGCCGAGAAAGTTGAAAATGTTGTAGTTGGATCGGCTCTTAATGAGGAAGTAAGTTATTACTTTAGAGCAATTTAATTTAAACAAATCATTTTAAGTTTATCTTTTATTTCCTCCTTCCCAAAAAAGTCGAATTCAAACGAAAAATCCCTTCCAGAAATACCGCACACCAAAAAAGAAAGAGCAAAAGAACGGCATAATAAATGGATAGAAAGTAAGTCACTAATTAAAAACAAAGGAAATATAATTTTGCGACTGATTATTAATCAAAATTTTAATGATTATTTAAAAGAATTCGATCCTACAAAAAAATCCACCCGGAAATCCAAGAAGAAAAAAAAATCACGACAAATGGATATTTGTGAAGAGCAAACAACATTAAATATTTCCGAGTTAAAAGAATTTCTTCCTGATATTAACAAAGAATTTGGATCCATAAATCAAAATACACTAAAGAAATCCAATTCACATATAGGATTAAACATGAAGCCAGTAAAATCAAAATCGACGCGAAAGAATATTGCGTGAGTACAAAATTTCCATCTTTTTCTTTAAAATTGGATTGAAATATCTTAAACAGAAATTCTATTTTAGGAAGAGTGAGATTCAAAGATTTCATCAAGTATTACAACATTCCGCATTTAAGGCTGACCCGTTATCAACTATTAAACAACATGTTGAAAATACTATTGAGAAGAAACAAGTTATTGATGATAAATCTATGAAAACTGATTAAATAATCTCTTTGAAGGATTTTACAAATAATATTATCTAAAATGTTTTAAAATATTTAAAGAATTAAAAGGTTATTTACACATTTTACAAAATCAAATATGATTTTTAGAAAATATTAATTACTGTATACTAAAAAATTACTTATTTTTAAATTTCTTATCATCTTGTCGTTCTTTTCTTTTTTCTTCCAATAAACTAACTCTAGCTCTTTGATGTTTAATCTGAGCAATTTTAACTTTTTTCAATAAATGTAGCACTTCATTTAATATCAATACCTAATAAAATGATAATTTCATCAATATTTTAACAATAGGCAACGAAAACGACGAAAGAAAGTCGAATTAGAAGATACTTACTATACCAAACACAGAATTACATAATATAGGAAAAGAGAATACCATTGAAATAAAGAAACCACTTTGATCAAAATAATTATCTCTGGAAAATTTTTGCCAATTATCTTGTGCTAAAGTATTTATTGGTTTAGCTAAACCGACCAATAACACTTTAAGAATATCTTTTATGTTAAAAAAGGTTCTGTTGAAAATTTAGGAGAAATATAAAAATATTGAACTTACTTAAACCAAATGTTATTACCGCTAAAGAAGTTGTATTATTTCGTAATTTAATTACAATGAATAATGATATAATGTGAAAACCTAATAACATCCATAGCCAAGGTTGCGACCAATCAACCTTTTTTTTTATTATTCAATCAATTAATTTCAAAAGAAAAGCGCTTTAATAAGATATTATAAAAGAAATTTAAAATTTTACCGCATTAATGAACATTTGTACACTTTCTACGAAACCATTCCAACTTATATCATCATAAGTTTTGCGAAGAAAATAAATTGGAAGGCTTTCTTCAGGTGATTCTATACTAAATAAACATGATTCAAATTCATTTTCGTTAATACATCTTTAACAAGCAAATCAATGAAAATATTAAAACTTATTTATTTTAAGTACCTATCTGCTTCATAACCCATTTTCTTAATAATAACGTTCGCAGTGAGCTTTCTAAAAAAGAGCTTTTTAAAAAAAGGATGATCAACGATCTCGTGATACACGGGACTCTAATTTCGAAAAATATCTCGGATTTTTAAATAATTTTAATTTTTAAAAACCATCATGTTTAATAATAATAAGCGGAAAGAAAAACCTTTTAAACGTGAATTTCTTTCAACAACGCCAATAAATTCTAATATTACACAATCCACACCTACTTCAGGAGCAGCAAACTCTTCATGTTCAGCACACCAAGACCAGGGACGAGAACAACAAGACCGACAACGGGGGGAGCAAAAACCATTAATTATGTCACCTGCACGCTCAGAAATAACCATTTCTCCTGGAAGGTCATTACCACGAATTACTTCTGCAACACGAAAAACTGTAACACAACTTGATCCAATTTCATTAAAAAATTCTCTCGATGAAATTTTAGGTATCAATAAAGAAAAATATTGGTCGTCTATACAATCATTCGTCAAAGGGGAACTAAATAAAGTTGAATTGGATCTTTGTGCGCATTCTTTATTATCAAAAGAACATGGTAAGTTATAAGTATCAAAGTTTGCATTTCTTTTAATAAGTCAATGCCGCATATTAACGTTTTCGATTGATCGTATTATAAAATAGTTCATTTACATGATAAATTTATTCGTGCGAGCATAATGTTAAAGAATACATGCAAAAAAAATCAGAATAACGTTAGATATGCTTCATCACCTTATAAAGAAAAATCTCTAGAGAAAATCATGTCTTCAATAGGAAAGGAAGAAAGGGATAAATTATGCGTTATTTTAAAAGTATGTGATTTGTTATTTAACATACGTTCCAAGTTTATGATTTTAATTCTTACGTTTAAATTAATATTCCTTCTCATAGAGAGCACGAAATAATCAAGCAACTTCACGTTCCAATCCAGATTTAATGTTATTTGAGAAAAGGTTTCCTAAAAATGTATTTGATAGAAATTTCGTTGATCATTCACAACCTTTAACCTCTTCATCTTCATTGAGTGAGAAAGTGGAAGAAATTTCAGAATTCGATTCTATTTATACAAAAATGACAGAAATCGCTTTGGATAATGGATTAATTGGTGGCGTTTCTGAAGATTGTGCAAATTTGATGATTTATGCATTGGAGGTTTCAATCTTTCATAAACTATATTTTAAAAGTCTTTCTTCCGCTATCAAATTCACTAAAGCAACTTTCCAATTTTTTTTTTTAGTCACATCTGAAGAGTATTGTTCATGATTGTATAATTAAGATTAGATCAGATAATTTTCATAATGAACAAGGTAATTCGGCAATCTCTTTAAATGATCTTGCATTTTCATTAGAAATTTCTCCTTACATTTTAGTGGAAAATAATTTTATGTTGGAAAAAATAAGGTCAAAACTAAAAGATGGCAAACAAAACAAAAAAATTTAAATTGAAAATTCTTTTATACAAGAATATTTTTTAAAATAGACAACTTTTTTTTTTTTTTACTACTATTATTATTTCCTACGCTTGACGCTACGATATAGTTCGATATATGTTCCGTTCTTTTGTTTCAATAATAAAAAAAAAGCATAAAATTTGAATAAATGATAATGAATACATAATAATTTATAATCTCACGCAACATTCTACAATACGAATCGTTTTTCCAGTATTTGTTTGATTTACGTGCTGGAAAGAATGTATCAAGCCTTTTTGAGCGCATGATTAAATTAATAAGCGTGTAAGAAAAATTGATTTTGTTTTCTTTCATGAATAAGGATGGTTTACATTGTCATAAAGTAAAATTAGGTAATCAATAAAGACTGAATAAAAAACATTTATTCAAAAAAAAAAAAAAAAAAAACGAACGAACGAGATGAAAAAAGTTCTGGAAATTGAATTACAGAGAAAAAAAATTTGGGAAAGAAATTACTCCTTAAGATCCTTACATTGACGTATGATATATTTTTCCGTGGTCAATGTTCTACACCATTAAACCTTATCCTAAAACGGACAATTTTTTATTATGGATAAATCTAACACTTCTTTTTATTCATCCAATATTAAATCTAATTCGAGACCTATCACTAATATCTTATTAGATTTGATCGTTAACTTCTATCGATTTGTTACGTTTTACATTCAATACATAATAACGTCATTTAAAGGCAATTTGTTTTAATAAATGGGTTTAATATAAATAACATTTAATTACCATCGCAAGCGAATTTTTTTATCCGAAAAGTGTTGACTTGGTTTTATAATTTACTTGTTTCGGTCAATCCTTCCTGTACTTTAAGCCTTGCTAAATTTCACTATTTCTATTTTTACTAATTGCTCTATCCTACACTTTTCCCAATATCTTATTAGAAACTCCCGATACGTTCGCTATATGTATCTACTGAATACTATAAGAGCTTTAAGCACCACAACTCTCAAAGGTACTGTCCAAGACAGTTTAATGAAACCTGTTACTATTTTGAAATGTCCAGAATCTCATGATCTTGACGAAAGTTACGATACTTCACAGAATATGCTAGACTAAACTAACTCAAAATATGATATCTTTTTTTGAAAAAAGTTGTTGACGCTTCAGATAGGAACACGATTTAAAAACAAAAATCTTAGCATTAAAAAAAATAATGAGACTTCCACTAGCAATAAGATATATATATATATACTTTTATTAATTCACAGGCTAATTATTATATCGATATTAAATGATTTCCTACTAAATATACATTGATAATTTTTTTTTTTAAAAATATATATATTTATATAGATATATATATCGTTGTTAATGATGCAGATTGTACAATGTTTGAAATATATTAAGTATAAAAATAATATGATAATTTTTTTTTTCAATAAAAATTAATATACATATTACCCAAATAAAAAATAAAAGACTAATAATAACTTCCAAATATATATAATTAAACAAAATCATCAACATCTAAATCCATTACAACTAGTTTTTTGGCTTCGAACCCTTTTAATCCAAAACATTTGTCATAAATATTTCTGTCAACGTAAAAACTATATTCTCTTGATAAATTCTGAAATGTTAATATCCTTTTAATTATTGTGGCTGTTGTACGGTGTTTATGAAAATTAATAAGCGGCTGTTGATGGTATAAAGGTGATGATGGTAAATTAAATGACGGCGATGATGGAGTTGGAGGTTGTGATGGTGGATCAATAAACGATGGTACTGCTGCATTGAAAACTAAATCTTGTAGATATAATCCTAATAAAAGTGGTAAAAGCATTATTTTCTTTAATAAAAATAAATAAAAAAATAAATAAAACTCCATTCTAATGCGAACCTAAAAATGGAATACATCCAGAATTAATTTTACGAACATCGGAGCCGCGTCTTTTTCCTTGTTTGACTAATGCTTTTAAAATAGTAGAATCATCGATAGATTTTCTCATAGCTTCTCTGATTACCTTCCAATTACCGAAAGTTGAAATATACTCATTTAGCTCTTTAAGTAGACGTAAATCTTCTTTTCTAATCCTCGTCCATGTTCTCCTCAATCTTTCTACGGGCGAAGATTGTAATCCAAGAAGAATTTGTGTTAATGTAGCAAAATTTGATAATTGAAGACATTTCTAATAAAAATTATATATTGTTTGAAAAAGTATTAGGTTTATAAGAAAAAAAGACCGATGAAATATAACCACGAAAGATTTTATACCTGCGCAATTCGTATAAATTTTTCAATTACTCGTATTCGATCTTCCAAAGATCTAGTAAGTACGATTTCAGTTGCGACCCAATCACATGACTTGTTAATTCCAAAGTGAAATTAGTTTTATATTGTTAGGTAGGAAGGGATGAACATCTGAATATACTTACCAAATTAAATCTTTCAATTACTTTATCAACACCATTTTCCCGAACTCTTTTCCTTGGTTCCCCTTTAATAAATTCATTGTTTTCTTGCTCCTCATCAACTTCTTTTGCTTTACCCTTTCCTTTAACATCCTTTTTTTTCTTTTCATCTTCAAGTTCTTGAGCACTTTCCGTATCTTTATCGGTACTCGTGTAACCAACTTGAATCAAGTCTTCCCAATGAACCTTCAATAAAAGATCACGTTCAATTAAACAAAATTGTTTTGCGATAACTTCTGATCGATAGTTTAATATGAAAGACCTATATGGTGACTGAGAGTTTAATGTTGAAGATATTGAAGGAGGTTTTCTTGATTGATCATCTGAAAAAGGAAGTGGCGGTAAAGGTTTATCTAAAGAAGTTCTTGTATAAAAAAGGTTCTTTATTGGAGCCTGGCTACTGCTGCTACTAGGTTCAGTAGTGATATCATGTTGACCTGTAAGCTTTTTGGAGGAAGGTTCGGTGATTATAATATGTTTTACTGAAGATTCCGAGCTTTTTCTAGGTGACCCCGGAGTAACATTACTACTCTTGGAGATTGCCCTTGAAGACGAAGGTTTTATAATTGATTTATCTTTTCCCTTTAAGGATTCTCGTTCAACTTCTTTTGATTTTCCTTTTTCTCCATGAGTTTCAACCACTGATGAGGGTTCTTTACGGTTTAATTTTAAAGATAATGTTAATGCATATGATAATTTCGCTTATTTACAGTATTTTTAATACCTAAGTAACAAGTGAGAAATCCGCTTACCAGATTTTTCTTCGATATCTTTGAGTGTGACAACAGATCGTAAATCACGTACTTTAGGAAGTCGTCTAAGTCTATGGGAGGAAGGGTCATGTTCCCCCTCTTCCTCCTCAATATCAAGGTCCATTTCATCTCCGGACGGTTCTGGTGGTAATGATCCAACAAAATTTGTTTCAACACCACCCTCTTCTTCTAATTCATAAACTTTTGCAAGTCGACGACGTCTACGTGCGGATTGAGGATCTTCAATTTTCTTGATTTCAGATGATGTGGCCATTTCTTCTTCCTCCTTTCTTAATTCTGAAACTAATGAAGCATCAGGTGGAGACATTTTTGAAATGTATGTGTCCTCATCGTCATCTACTTCTATCACTGGAACTAAACTCCACATTTTAAGATTACGACGTGTAGATCTAGTATTTTGACGATTTTCTAGTCCTTCCAAATTCTTGTCGTTCTCGCTTGATTCCTGTTCTTGAACTGAAGTAGATGGTGTCGGAGGAAGATATGATTCAGTTGGTAATGTTTCATCAAAACTCATTTCTTCCTCCATTTCTACTTCTTCTTGCAATTCACCATCGTCATCATCATCATCATCCCAATTAAAATTTTCTTCTGTATTGGCAAAATCTTCTTGACGGTGTGTATCAAAGAATTCTTCTTCAATAGACTCATTCACATAAGAAAATCCGTCCACATGAATAGGAAAATCCTCTTCAGTAAAATTATTAAAATTTTCAATTGGTACAGAATCATCTGAACCATCAATAGTATCAGCATCAGTAGGGTTAGCACAAAACATTTTAATTACACCTGTCCTACCCGGAATACTTCCTGAAGTACCAGGTATTTTGTTCTTTTCACTAAATAAAACTTTAGCAAATTTACCCATGGTTGCAGACATTTTTTGCGGCCATGATGGTCGACCACTTATTTTACGCCTTGATGTTTCATCTTTCTCCTGTTGTTGATCAGAACGAAGTGAAGCTGATCCAATATATGCAGGGGAAGAATTTCTTCTAGCAACTCCTCCTGCATGATCAATCTGAGACAAATCATACTCGTCATCTTCTTCGTCGTCATCATTTTCAACAATTCCACAAATTGCTTCAGAAAGTGATAAACTTCTTTTCTTACGAGTACGATCTTGAAAATTTTCACTAATGGTTTCTTGAGAAACAACTTTCTTTGGCTTTCTTGTTGGAAAGTTTAAAAATCCACCTTTAAAGAATGAAGGTGGAGTTTGAACGGTTGGTATCGGTTGAGTTGTAGTAAAAGTATGTCTCCTAGGTCTCCTTGGCGGAAGGGGTGGTGGCTCCTCTTCCTCCATTATTACGTCATCATTTCTTAAATTATTTTCCCAAGTATTATATTCCGCTTGTAACTTTCTTTGTTGAGATAAGTCATTCATAGAACTGCTTCGTAACTTTTTTTTAACATTCACAATTTTTTCTTCTTGTTTTATAGGAAGATCTAATTCAGGGACGACTTCAATGTTTTTATGTCCCACACCTGCAACGTCTTGTTCCCAATTACTAGCAATTTCGCTCGTTAATGTGGGTAAAGACTTTGTCCATTTCTCATTATAAAAAATAGAGATCGGATTTTCGTATGTATGTTTCAAAGAATAATCATCATCACTATGCTGGGAATTACTACTTGAGAACTCGAAACTTTGACGGGATACTGCGGGTCGTGAAATTCTTGAACGAGAAGAAAAATGATGACCTAGTGCATCAAATTCTTCACCCTCGGAATCAGTTGTTCCCGGAGTTAATATTGAACCTAATGTAGACGTTGAACCGCGCATTATCGTCCTTTTCGATTTATCCTTGGATGGTAAGGAACTATCCACAGCGGTACCACTATGTTCAACTGATATCACATCAGCATCCAAATAATGTTCAGAATGTTGATGTTGTTCTTTATTTGTCGATTCCACCATTTCTTTTAATTCCTTGATACTCTTTCTACCGGTTCCACTTTTTAAAATTCCCATAATACCTTTCCGATAATATATTCTTTTTAATCTTCTAATTACCCTTTTTAAACCATATACTATTCGTTGATCATGAGGCGAATGTTGAACCAGAGGATGTGAAGGTAAATAATTTAGATAAGATACAAGCTTAGATCTCAATGCACGACATGGAACGAAATCATACGCAAAATAATTAAGAAGCCAATGTCGTAGTGTCACAAAGGTTCTAAAATGAAGTCAAAATTTTTATAAAATTTGATATTTTTTTTTTTTAAAATAAAAAAAAAATAAATAAATAACTGAAATTTTTGGACATACCTGACCCTTACTACCCTTCTTTGTTCGTTGTCGTCCTCCAATGCCCAATCAAATCTCAAGATAAGTAGATTACATAATTGTAATGGAGTTATAAATGTCCGATATGTAAGAAAAAAATCCGTCAAGAAAGTATAGTCTGGTTAAAAATCAATTCAACCTTTAAACATTAATATAGGCAACAAAATAATATTATTTATATCCTAGAGAGCAAAAATTATTAAAAAAAAAAAAAAATTTACCAATTCCACTTGTCAATTTCTCGATCAATTTTTCAATTGTTGCAGCCATTATCACCTTCTCCGTCGTTGAGTTAGATTTTCTATTGCCTGATGGTTTCTGTTCAAACCTATAATCCTTTTTGTCTTTTGACCCAGCACCACATATCGTTTTACCCGCTCTCCCTAATGTTCCATGAATACTCCATCTTTTTGAAGAAGAAACATTCGTTATTGAGGAGATGATTGATCCTTGTTTTCTCTCTTCAGCTCTTGATATTGACCAGACTATAAGTCTTGGATCATCATCTGATTTGATTTGGTCAAATATTTCAGTACCATATTTTATTGGAAGGAGTGGAGGTACCTCGGGTGCTCGTGACGGATTTGTCACTTGGTGCATTGCCGCGGTCATTGAAAAGCGACCCTGAGGAATGTAGAAAATAGACTGTTGAGCTAAGGAGGAGGAAGGTTGAAGAATGTCGCCTGTTTGATCCCATGGCGTTGTATCAAATATTATCTCGCCATCATCTACTAAATTGTCCCTTGTATTCAAACCAACAAGATTTTTTTGTGATTGCAATTTATCATCATAATTTTGTGTTGGCCAATTTAAAATCTTTGTATGAAATTCTTGTTCAGAATTTGGAGCAATGGAAGAACCAGTTCCCTTCACTGAATTCGGTAAAATAATATTTGAAATAGAAATTGGTCGCGGTTTTTTTTGAAAATCAAATTCAGTAGTTGGTCTGAATGGGACAGGTGCAGATCTACGAGGTTCACGTGGCCGCCGGTTGGCAAGTTTCATGGTATCTATATCAGAGTTTGTTCTATTATATATATATATTTCAAATGTTGAAAAGCACCCAAATATAAAACACGAAAAAATTTAGGATCACGTGACAGAATATAACAAAAAAATGTAAGAAACCACCCATATTAATCACTAATGTTTTTTCTTTTTTTTTTATGCAGCCAATTACTCTACGTAAAGAACCTTTCGATTTTTTTAAAATATAAATAAAGGATGCTTAAACTATATGATTTCTGAGTAATTTAAAAAATTTTTGAATTGAATTGAATGAATTTTATATACTGTCATTATTAACACTACAATTATTTATTAACGAATTAAAATGAATTTTATTTGAATTAAAATCAAAATTCGTTTACAATAACAGAATCCTTAAAAGTTTTGAAGAAAAATCCAAAAAAAACTGACCAGCAGACTTCTTTCAGGTATAGTTAATTTGCTAAGCGGTGCATTCTAAGAATTTCGTGGTAAGGTTCGAAACAGACGACTTCTCTTGATTCTAGTATTCTTACCAATGTTTGAGAATCGAATGTTCTACTCAATTTACTGTTTGAGCAAACCTTTTTCTCCCATTGAATTCCTACAAATTACACTTTTTCTCAAATAATTCCCAGACCCAGTTTTTTTAAAGGTATTGAACATTACCTCAAAGGAACATTATCGTTAACAAAAGCTTCAGTGCTGCTCTGCTGGTGACGTGAATCTGTCTTATGGTGTGCTGCGACATTACTTCCAATGGTAGACGTCGGAACAACGACGTCCGAGGTGATTTTTGACGCGGCAGTTATATTTAAGTTGGTCGATATTATAGGTAATTCAGAGAGCTGTTGAGTCGTGTTGCTTATTATACTGGGAGGAGACTCTTCACGAAGTTGTGCACTTATTGTGGTTTCTTCAATAATTTCGTGTTGATTGTCCTCGGTATTTGAGGTTATACCGCTATTATCTGTGCTTTCTTCAATTATCGTCGACCCTACTTTAATGTCCATTATAAAAAAAATTTGTAATTTAAAGTATTCCCTTGTTTTTAACACAAGCAATTTTTTTAAGAAAACAACTCGTCGCGTCTTTGCTCGCGAAATAGGCTTCCTAATTTTTTTTTTTTTTTTTTTTTTTTTTTTGCGGTAATGTAATGTCTTCTTTTAATGCATAATAAGCCAAAACGACCTAACAGTTAACATGAAAAACCTAAATATGTGTTGATATCAAAAACGATTTTAAAAAGATAAATGACCGTATATATATATTTTATAACACAGGGAGGTTGTATCAACAAAGATTTTCCTAGTGATTTTCCGTACAAGGTTTTATAAAAATGGACAGAGTTTGTCAGGTGTATAGCGAAATATACTAAAAAGTAAAAAATTATCAGTGCGTATAACCATAACCAGCAAGATTTTATGCGACATCGTGCTGCTTGATAAATGATACACATACATTTTCAAGTACCAACCAGTTTTAATGTTGAGTTAATCTCAATGTGAGCTATTACTCATTCAAATCTTTTGTTTATGATCTTGTGGAAATTTCATTTATTAAGACAAGGGGTAAAAGATCTTCGTTCCGGAAGTTGTAGAATTACCCGAGCCAATAAATTTTTATTTAAAGAAAAACTTGCGGATCTCCTCGCGGTGAAGGGAATTTATAAACATTTGGAGAATGAATCTCAAAGAATTATTTAAGGGATGGATTGATTTTTTGATCTTTTTGATTTCCTAAAATTATCAGAAAAAAAAAAGAATTTTGAGATCATAAACAATCATCACACATCACATTGTTGTGGGAAATTTTTGAAATCTTGTGAAAATTATTAACGTTATAGAAAACCCGTCTTGTATCCGGTATGGAAAAACTGGTATTATTACTAAGGCTTGAAATATTTCCATTATTGGAAAGCTCCTTTTTTATTATTTGAATCGCACAAAGGAGCTAAAATCTCATGTTTGAAGAAATAAAGATGGTGCTTTGATAAATAAGCTTAAACGATATTGAAATACAATGAAAAGGGTAATAAAGTGCATTGTTTGGCCCAAATTATCATTTATTTTATCATCAATTATTGGCCGACAATTTTAGTTCAGAATAGATGATGTTTGGGAAAATATTTTTTCTTTTTTTTCACGTTTTTTTTTTTAAGTAGGTAACGTGACTGAGCATCCATCATTACTAAAAACTGTATAAACCAATTATCAAAAAAGATCTTTAAATTAATTTATGCATCCTTTTGATTAAAAATTAAAATTTTAATTACCTTCATTATAGTTAAATGAATGGAAGGATATAATATTACTAAATAGGATATAAAGTGAACATTTGGTATTACAACTTTTTTTAGACCATATTTTGAATTAAAAAATTAAACCTATTAATAATCTGCAAAAAAAATTATTAATAGTATATACTACTTATAAATAAAATCATTATTTGATATACAATTTTATATTTATTTTTTTAAGAATCCTTACATTATAATATAAGTTTTAAATTTACTCAAGTTAGATTACTTACTAGTATAATACAAACTTTATTAAAGATAAACTATTTATAATATAAAAAGAAAAATGTGATAAATGTAATATTACTTAATATTATAGTTTAAGATAAATCTAATAGCATAAAATTTTTTAAATGAAAAATAAATTTTTGTAATTAATTTTAATCAATACTATTAAAATTTATATATTAAATAAAATGATTAAATTATAAAATCTATTATCCCTTAGATTGTCTAGCAGGCAAATTTGCCTGCGAAATTAAAAAAAATTGTTAATTTCTTTATAAAATATGAAATATTAATTTTAGTAATATTATTACTATATAAAAAATATAATTTAATATATATTTTATCAACTTTATTAACAAAG